AAAATTCTCAAATCCAGAATGCTAGTAGCATATACTAAACCTAAGTCAATTAGGAATTACCTAGTACGCAGCGACATAAACATGGATAGTAAACCCGCAGGCAGCGGGCCGTGTGGGAGAAACTGCAAAGTCTGCAAATATATGGTAAAATCCACTCACTTTGAGAGCAACACTAGAAAGAGCCGTTACAAAATTGCACGACATATTGATTGTCAAAGTGTTAATGCGATATATCTAATCACCTGCAAAAAATGTAACATTCAATATGTAGGGCAAACATCAAATACCATCAACACTAGAATCAGAAACCATTTGTATGACATTTACCGCCAAGATATAAACAAGCCAGTCGCGGAACACTTCAACTCCAGCGGCCACAATAGCGATGACGTCACAATCACCGGAATCACGTCGGGGATCAGTGACATCAACATACGGTTGAGAACTGAAGAAAGCTGGATCTATACCCTGCAAACACAACGTCCGTGGGGGCCTCAACATCGTAACTTAAGATATGGAGAAGAAAAGGAAGATAGAGAGAACACCAGTATGGAAACCCAGAATACCGTGTATATTATGCGGGAAATCTTATTCATGTATAGGAAACCTAAGAAGACACGTAAATAACGTACACGGAAACAAATCTACATGGTACAGGTGCAAAATCTGCAAAACGGCCTTTGGCCGTAAGGACAATTATGATAAACACTTAGCCAAAATGCACCCATACTATAAAATTGAACCTGAAATCTTTGAAGACAAAACCAGAAATGAAGCAAAGACTCCAGAAAAGCTGCGCAGACCATTTGAAAGTCTGACTAAGACCCAACTAGCAGCCGCTAAATTCCAGGTAAAACCTGCCTCAGGGATAACTACCGCTGGACCCGCCAGCAAATTCAGACCAGTGATGGAAGAGGCAGTAGAATTGCTTAAAGAAGACCTTTACCTCAGCGACACCACAGATTCAAACAGTTCTATATCAGAAAAAATCAACTACAGGGATCTAGCCTATGTATCAGAATCTAATCATACTATTTGTCTTGATGAAAGACCAGAAGAAAGGTGACAGAAATAACAATAACGAACACTGTTAGAAATCTTTAAATTCATTTATTCAAAAGTTATACTTACTATTCTATATATGAACTGTGCTAAACTTACAGATATGCAAGATAACGGTTAATTGTCCATTACGTCACAGATAAAAGTTTTCCTCCCTGAAGGTACTTCAGGGATAAAATTTGTATAATATTTGTCCTGAAGAAGCCTCTGCAACAGAGGCGAAACTAGTCGACGAATAAAGTCAACACTCTCTTATTGGTAACGCGTGAGTATGTTGTGATTAATACCCTCTTCATACATAGTTATGTGTTAAATGACAACCAATCTGTTGTCTGTAGTTACCCATTTGATGACAACTAATCTGTTGTCTGTATTTTTGCATCAGATGACAACCAATCTGTTGCCAGTAGTTACGTGTTACATGACAACCAATCTGTTGTCCTAAGTATTCGTTGACAACCAATCTGTTGTCTACTGTTAAGATGACAATCAATCTGTTGTCTGTAGTTACGCATTGGATGACAACCAATATGATGTCCTAAGTATGTTGACAACCAATCTATTGTCTACTGTTAAGATGGCAGCCAATCTGTTGTCCGTAGAAACACATTAGATGACAACCAATCTATTGTCTGTAGTTTTGCATTAGATGTCAACCAATCTGTTGTCCTTCGTTTAAGTCTAAACATGATATATAAGCGACAACCATAATCATCATCATATTAGATTTCCAGACGAAAACTAATCGGGAGTCCCTTATTCACCATCTTAGATAACACCTACATTCTGTCCAGAAATGCAGATCAGATCGCAATATTTACATTGTAGGATCCATCTTTTACTTAAATACTTTTATAGTGATTATATCTATGTGGTATGGCCCTGTTATAACCTTTCTTCTATTATGGTCCTTCCCCGAGTGTCATATGTACCACTTTTATTTTTTTTTTTTTTCATAACTGGCTTCCTATATTTTTGGGGCACTCAGCTCAATCATATACACATATACTTGACCTGAGTTTTGGCAATTTATGATTTTATAATTAATAAAAGTTAGATCATAATTATAAATTTCAAGCCCCCCCCCCCCCCAAAAAAAAAAAAAATTAGGGGTTTTTTGTATTTGAATGTATTGTCAAAACACAAATGCTTATCAAATTAAGTGAAAGTATATTTCATAACAAATAACCTTCCATCTTAAGCTTGTTAAGGTCAAATTAGGTAATACATATTGATTGTATAAATGACCTCAACCCAAGTTGGAAGATTATCTGTGTTAGATTTGCAGACAGCTGAGTTGCCCCTAATGCCAAACTTTGTAAAAAAAATATGTTTTCTTTTATATGTGTTTTACAATAAATATGTTTGTATGTACCGTACGTAAGTCTTGCGTTTTCATTTGGGCTGTTTAAATGGACTGTTGAAGTATTAATGCGATATATCTAATGACATGTAAGAAATGTAATTTCCAATATGTAGGACAAACCTCAAGCTCTATTAACACCAGGATTAGAAATCACTTTTATGACATCTACCGCCGGGAAGAGAGCAAACCGGTCGCGGCACATTTCAACTCTCCCGGACACAATGCAGATGATGTCAGTCACCGGAATAATATCAGGTATCAGTAACGTCAATACACGGTTGAGGACCGAAGAAAGCTGGATCTACATCCTTCAAACACAATGTCCATGGGGCTTGAATATACTAACTTGAAATATGGGCAAAGAGAAGAATAAGGCCCAGAAGACAGGGAGACCTACAATCCCATGCATACTCTGCAGCCTATTACCATAGGAAATCTCCGCCGTCATGTGAATAACATACACGGTAACAGATCAACATTCTACCGTTGTAAAATATGCAAGTCAACTTTTGGCCATAAAGATAATTATGAGAAGCACCTAAAGAATACACATCCATTTTATGAAATTGAACCAGAGATAATGGAAGAGAAGACCCGTGAACAAACCAAACCACCGATCAAATATAACAGACCGGCAGAATGCTTAACTAAGAAACAGTTAGAAATAGCCAAATTTATCGTGAGACCAGCCACCGGAATAACCCCACCAGGCCCAGCCAGCCGATTTAGACCAGCGCTGGAAGAAGCAATGGACCTGTTGAAGAGTGATCTATACCTCAGCGACTAAGATTCAGAACCAGAGAGAGTCACCCGGAACCACAGGGACCTAGCGTATGTTTCTAGTTCCACGCATACAATATGCCTAGATGAAAAGGAATAACTCGGACACTGCCAATTTTTGAGTTTTTATTAATTCTATCAATCTTATTTTTACAAAGACTGGTTAAAACAATCACACAATCACACTGTATCACGTCACATAACGTATATATTATTTCTCATGTAATTATGACGTAACAATGTAAATTTATCCTCCTGAAGTGTATTTTAGGGGAAAAGTTTTGTATATTTTTGTCCTGATGAAGACCCTGCGACAGGGTCGAAACTAGTCAACAAGTAAAATTCTACTTATTGGTAACGCTGGAGTATGTTGCGGTTATTATTCCCTTCTTATAATTAGTTTATCTGTCTATAACTGCCCTGCATACCTCTAGGGTATCCATATTCAACACGGAGTTCCACACTAAGAAAGCCCACAAATCTCCACCTGACATTGGCTCCTCCCCCCTTGATTACCTTAACCCTTTCGTGACCAAACCGGCCAAACCCGGCCACAGCCGTATGTGCCCAAACCGGCAAAAACCGGCCTTGTTATACCTCGTGTTTAGCTTGGAGACTACGTACGTCTAATACTACATCCTGTTGAAATCTCACGAGATCTCGCTAGAACATTACTTCCTGTTGATATAGACAGCATGGTTGCTAGTTCTAACGATGCATAATCGAAGAAATTTTTGATTGTAAACAAAATGTTGACCGAGAAACGAAAGTGATCAGAAAATGGCGGACCTTCCGGAATCGAGTGATGAGTCTGTTGCAGATTTTGACGGATTTGATGAGGAAGATGTCAGGGAAGCACACAGAAACTTAGAAAGGATACAGAATGACCTTCAGGACGCAAATGATGAATCCGACATAGATTTCTCAGATAACGAGAGCGAAGAATCGGAAGATGATGACGATCCGTTCTTACAAAATTTGAATTTTGAATGGGACGACGTTGACCTGTTTGCAAATGTTTTACCAGAATTTACGAAAAATACATGAGTAAATCATCACTTACAAATGGATGCAAAGCCTATTGATTACTTCTTAAAGTTTATACCAGCTCCATATTTTGACGTTATTGCCGAGGAAACAAACAGGTATGCTGATCAAAAAGGACCTGATCCAAGATGGCAGCCGACCACACCTGACGAGGTACGTGCTTTCATTAGTATCAACATCATTATGGGAATACGTTAGTTGCCTCAACTCTGGAACTATTGGTCTACAGATGAACGTTTCTCTGACCCATATATATCGTCAATAATGACCAAATCTCGTTACATGAAGCTAAATCAATACATTCATCTCAGAGACACATCTGATGTACCTGGTAGGGACAGTCCAGATTATGACCCTCTGTACAAAGTCAGAACATTAATAAACTGCATTTCACCTACCTTGAAAGAGAATTATAATCCAGGGAAATGTTTGTCAGTGGATGAAGGCATGATTGGGTATAAAGGAAGGATACATTTTCGGCAATACATGCCTGCCAAGCCTACAAAATGGGGCATAAAAGTTTGGCAGATATGCGAATCAGACACTGGCTATTGTTGTGGATTTGACATTTATACAGGGAAAAAAAAACGGTGGACGTCAATACGGACTAGGCTATGATGTCGTTTGGTAATTATCAAGGCACTATCACAACCAGAATAGGTTTCTTTTCTTTGATAGATTCTTTTCATCAGTAACCCTAGCGGAACATTTGGAATTGGTAAACACATATGTCTGCGGAACAATAATGGCTAATCGGAAAGGCCTACCTGAAGCTGTAAAAAAGGCAAAACTCAAGAAACAGTTTGACATTATCCAAGTACAGAAAGGAAATCTCATTGCAACTGCCTTCAAAGACAAGAGACAAATCACCTTCCTGTCAACAGCATCTCAACCTGGTGTATGCGAGAATACAAGGAAGCCCTTTGTAAATCTTGACTACAATGCTCACATGGGAGGCGTCGACAAATTTGATCAGTTGTCCTCTTACTATCCAATTGGGAGACCTGGAAAGAAGTGGTGGAGGTACATATTATGGTATGTTATCAATCTAGCTGTTGTCAATGCTTGGATTCTTTTCCAAAGAACTGACGGCAAGGTTCCCCCTCCGCCAAAAGGCTATGACCATCTTCGCTTCAGAATGGACATTGCGGACCAACTGAAAGCTGGTTTTACTAGCAGAAAACACAGAGTGGGTAGGAAAAGTAAGAAATGTAACAGATCAGTGTTAGTTGCAGCTGAATCCATCAAGCATCATCACCTGGAGAAAATTGAGGGAAGGAAGAAAATGTGTAGGGAATGTTCCATGCAAAAGAGAAAAACTCCGAAGGGCTACCCCATTGAGACATCCTACAAATGTAAATTCTGTGACATTCCACTGTGTCGAGTCGGATGTTTTGCAGCATTCCATGACCGAAACCTCTCCGACTAGATTTTTTACTGACATGCGTGCTCAAAAATGTATCTATCTGTTAAAAAAAGTGTTTTTGGCCATTTTCGGAAAATTTACCTGTGTCCACCTGTGCTCGTTAGCACAGGTGAGTTAATATTATGCAAAAAACTAAGTAAAGACTGTAATGTGAGAAAATGCTACCTGTGGTGAAGATGTGACATCAAATAGAGCTACATGCGCATAAAGAAGGTAAATTATGCCTAATGAAATTTCATTTACATGCTGTTTCATACCATATTTTACCTGTGTGATTTACCTGTTGTTACCTTGTTTGAAACATACATGATCTTGAAATTTTTACTCTAGTTGTTCATTGATTGATAATAAGTGTCAAGACTATGTCTTATCAAGTAAAAACAAACACAGAGGCTTTATTCTTCAATATTTTAATTATTTTCACCTTAATTACTATTTTTACCTGTGCAAATTACCTGAAAATGAAAACATATGACCAAAATGAAATTATATTCTAAAGGATAAAGGTATGAACTAATACCACTCAAAATTTCATCAAAATCTACCCACAAATAAAAGTTATCTTCAATAGAACAAAATATTCCAAATTAGTTTAATTAGTCTCAATTAATTAAAAAATTAAAATTAAAATTAAAAAAAAAAATCCATCTTCACTATATACCAAGTAATTTGGTCACGAAAGGGTTAATCATTACTGTTGGAAAGATGTAGCCACACGCCACATTAAAAACCAACATCCTGATGAGAAGGGGGATAACCTCATCCAGCCAGAAATGTATTCACCTAAAAAAATCGCTAACAAACCTACAGCATGGCAACCCCCATTTGAGGCCAGAAGCACTCAGGACTTCAAAAACGTGAAATTTAGAATTAAACCAGCAGTGGATGATACTATAGAGAAATCCTCCACTAAGAAATCAACTACACCAGCTAATATACTCAACAGGATACTTGAAGAAGATTTATATCTGTCCTCAGATGAAGAAGACGAAGTGGAACAAAATAGACCTACTACCTGTACAACTATGTTACAGAAAATGATACCAAATTCCATCAAAATCAACCAGACCTTAATGACACCTTTTGTCTTGATGAAATTAATGAACATATGAATCAGGAACCTATATACATACATAGTATCTATGGAATTTTTAAAGCATCTTGATATTGTCGGCGAATTGTTAAGATATTGTTTACGTCATAATTATTATTGCACTTTGTCCATTATCACGGCATGTTCACTACCGCAAAAGTATACTCTAGCTGTTGTAATATTTTGAACCACCGTCCTGATGACGACTGCATAGCAGTCGAAACATGTCGACGGAGGTTTATTCTTAAGAATAAACAGATACAAGAGTTCCTGGATGTTGAGTATCCTTCCTTTAATGTTTTAGGTAGGAGAATAGCCTACTCACGCTCACTCAGTCAAGATCTGTGCAACCTACTGCTACTGCCGCTGCAGGTAGTTCTCGTCAAATGGCGACTGATGGTATCCGAGCCCCGACTCCTACCACCCATGTAGCCAATTCGCCGTTGATGCATACCGGTTCGACATTGGCGGCGGTCACAGAGGAATTTACACTGGACAGTGCGTATCGGAAACTTCAAGAGGAAAGTATTCCTTCCGGCGATTCAGCAGGTATTTTCTCCTATAAGCGTACCCAATATGGGTACACCTCCGAATCCTTACCGCTAGTAGAAACAATATCTCCCTCATTGCGCCAACAGATTATAACGGGGAAAGATGTTAATTTGGCTGCTATCCTTATTCCGTACTGCAGTGGTCAAAGTGACTCGAGCTTAGGTATTAACGAGAAACAGGACGCTAGACTCAACAGAACTCTTAGTCTAAGTGAATTCATTTTAGCTTTTAGCGTTTATAAACAAGTCATGTGTTCCACTCACCCACATCGCCGAGTTGAGCTTGACATGTACGAGCGAGATATCGTAGACATGGGAACCAGATACAGCTCCAGGTTCTATGAATATCATTGACAGTTTTCGTTGAAGGCAGCAGCCCATTTACGTTTCAATAACCGGAAAATAGATTGGTCCGTTCGGTATAATACCTTGTTCTGCAACATATTTGCCAATTTAGTTCCAGTTTCGTGTTCGATGTGTGGTAGCACTGCACATACTACAAAATTTTGCCCAACCCAGGCCAGGATAAGCGACAGAGTAGCAGTGGTTTCTCTGGGAACAGCCAGTTTCGTCTAAATAAAGGGCAAGTGTCTATGGCTTCTGACTCAAAAGGCAGACCCAGAGTTGTTTTTGAGGGGCGCAAGATTTGTAACAATTTCAATGGTAGATTTGGTTGTTCTTCCAATATTTGCAATAACCTTCACATCTGCCTAACCTGTAAGGGAAGCCACACAAAAGTAGCCTGCCCTTTAGAGAGCCGTCAGCCTCAAAAGAAGACATCTTAGCCCTCCATCACCATGATCCTATGACGGCTTCTACCCCAATATGTGTTGAGGCTTTACATTCCAAACTTCAAGGACACCCTGATCAGCAATTTGTTAATAAGTTAATTCATGGTCTAACTCACGGCTTTGACACTGGTCTACAACACCTTCCTATTAACTCCATAGTGTGTAAAAACTTGAGGTCAGCTATCAGTGACCCAGGAAGTGTTTCAGAGTTGTTGGAGAAAGAACTAAATAAAGGATACTTAATAGGTCCTTTTGACAATATTCCCTATTCCAGGTACCGCATCAACCCGTTATGCTTAGCTGAACATAAATACTCGAAGAAAAAGCGTTTAATTGTTGATTTATCTACTCCTCATCGAGACACAAACAATCCTAGCCTAAATAGTCTAATTGATAAATTAACTTGCTCGCTGAAGTATGTTACAGTAGATGATGCTATATATATTATTAAGCACTGTGGCCTCGATGCATGGCTAATGAAGACCGATATCACTGATGCCTTCAAGCTGATACCAATTGATCCCTTTTTGTGGCCTTACCACGGCGTCAAGTGGAACAACAAATATTATTTCTTTACGTGCCTCGTATTTGGATGTCGTTCAAGCCCAAAAATTTTCGACAGCCTTTCTCGGGCAGTTTGTTGGATAGCTAAGAACAAGTACAATATTCGTAACATTCTTCACTTGCTAGATGATTTCATAGTTATTGAACCAGCTTATGTCAATGCATCTCTTACTATGGAACGTTTTATGTCTATGTTCAAGGAATTAGGCATCCCGGTAGGTGCGCATAAAACTGTAGGCCCTTGTACATCACTCGAATACCTTGGTGTGTCCCTAGACTCTCATCTGAGGGAATGTCGTCTTCCACGTGAAAAAGTGGAAAGAATTATTGAGTTTTTGGATTCTTTCAAGAGAAAAAAGTCTTGTACCAAATGCGAGATGCTCAGCTTGCTAGGTCACATGAACTTTGCCTGTCGGTGTATTAGACCGGGGCGTTCTTTTGTCTCTCATCTCATATCGCTTTCTACTACAGTGCGTGAGCTATATCATCATGTGAAAATCAGCAATGAGTGTCGATCAGACCTTTACATGTGGTCGTTCTTTTTGAAGAATTGGAATGGCAGATCCTTTTTTCTGGATGATCATATCACATCAGCAGCTGACCTCCATCTTTTTACCGATGCTACATCTGAATCTTTTGGGGGAATCTACCTTAACCAGTGGTTTCAAGGTTTTTTTCCTAGTGAACTTAAAGCCATGGACACATCTATGGCCCTCTTTGAGCTATACCCTATTGTTATGGCTTGTGTGTTGTGGGGTCACCAGTGGCATAATAAACATATTCTTTTTCATTGTGACAATGTAGCTACGGTAGACATAATCTCCAAAGTGAGATCCAAAGTGTCCAGCATTATGTGTCTTATGCGAAAACTTACCTACTATTCTGCCATGCATAACTTTGTGATTCATGCAGTCCATATACCTGGTAAACAAAACAACATTGCAGACGCCATCTCTCGTTTTCAGATGTGCAAATTCAGGCAGCTGGCACCTCAAGCAGATGTACTACCAGTTCCATGTCTGCCTATGGCCTCATTGATGATGAGCTGAATACAGCGGTTGATAGTTTATGGAACCATGCCCTTAGCGAGAAGACTCTGGCTACTTGCAAGTTCGGTTTGAACTGTTTTGTGACATTTCTGGTTATGAGGGGAATTGCATGTGCTGCTAATTCCCTTCCCATTGTTGATGAGGATTATATTTTTTGTGACATACTGCCAGGAAGCTTTATGCTTGAAGTTCGACACTATTAAACTCTATTTAGCTGGCATAAGGTTTCATTACATCAAGTTAAACTTGGGGGATCCTCTCGCAAACACCATGCGGTTAAATTACATCTTGCGGGGCATTAAAAGAACTCAGGTTAATTTTTCCAATAAGCAATTGCCTATAACCTTTAAGTTGCTTAATCATATGTGTATAACTATTTCTAGTAGTCAAGGATTGTTTGAACCATTTGTCAAAAAAATGCTTGATCATCAGATTGTTTTATTCGGTACATTCATACTAATCCAGCCACTTTACAGTCGGCTCAACTCAATATGACTGTTTCTTAACCTTTATCCCTTATCAATTGGGGGCACTCGCTCGTAAGCTCATTTACTCGCTCATTTTTGGCTTTTAACCCTTTGCCGTATGCAAGCGCTTTTGGACGCCTTTACCCCTTGCTGCATGTAAGCGCCATTTTACGCCTGTCCTTTATCTCAATGTAAGCGCCTTTCAACGCCTGTGCACGATCTCTATGCAAGCGACTTTCGACGCCATCTTGACCATGTGTTTTGCATCAGTGTTTGTCACATGATCCGAAAGCGCCACCTATAAAGAGACTTCATATTCTAAATAAAGAAAGACCAAATTTTTAACCAATGATATTTGTCCACGTATGTTACTATATAAAAATTTGAATAAATTAACCTAGAAAGTGAGCGAGCGTTCCATGTGAGTAACTTCGTAGTAATGGCGGCCGCCATGAGTATTGGCGATGTTATACGGGATATTTTTGTCGAAGACGACGATGATTATGAATTTGAGGGGTTTGGCCCACAAGATATTGGATCAGATATTGATTTAAATGAGGTTCTGGATGATCTATCGTCCGAAAATGAATCAGGAGATGAGGAAATTGGAGCTCCGGTACTTCAGCCATTACAAGGTAACAACGTTAACTGGAATGCCGATTTTTCGCCAGTAGTTGTGAATAACTTTGATCGTGAAACGGGACCCAATCTTCCTCCAACCTTTGATGTTAATAAAGCAACCCCCCTTGATTATTTCCTGTTGTTCTTTCATGAAAATCAATTTTCAAATATAGTTAGACATACAAATAACTATGCACGATGGCGACTTGAAACTGAAAGTAGAAATGACCCAAAATGGAACGAGACGGATACGGCCGAAATAAAAGCATTTGTGGGAATAAACATTCTTATGGGTGTAACATATATGCCACAAACTGAAATGTACTGGTCAATGGATGATTTTGTTGGAAATACAGGTGTAAAAAATGTCATGCCATGTAATAGATACCAGAAATTGAACCAGTATTTTCACGTGTCAGACAGGGAATCTGAGCCAGGAAGAGAAAGTCCAGATTATGACAAACTATACAAAGTGAGAGAAACTATCAATCATGTTTCTGAAACGTTCAAAGACAACTATAATCATTCAAAAAATATTGCAATTGATGAAGCTATGATCAAATATACAGGACGTATCTCAATCCGCCAGTACATGCCTGCAAAACCCATAAAACGAGGAGTGAAAGTTTGGATGAGATGTGACGCAGAAACTGCATACCTATCTAGATTTGATGTTTATTTAGGCAAACAGGAGGGACAAATCGAGCATGGGTTGGGTCATCAGGTAGTCACAAAACTGTGTGATGATATACACGGAAGATTTCATCATGTATATTTTGACAATTTTTTCACAAGTGTAAAATTATTAGAAGATTTACTTGAAGATGGTGTATATGGATGGGGTACCAGTCGTACTAATAGAAAAGGTTTTCCTCGACAATTCCAGAAGCCAGGAAAAATGCAGCGTGGTGAGTACAAAGTGCTACAGAAAGAGGGCACGAACCTAATAGCAACTGTCTGGAAGGACAAAAAACCTGTTAATCACCTAGCCACCATGTGTGACCCAAATAAAGAAGTACGTGCTTCAAGGCGTTCAGGAGCACAGGTGTTGGACCTACCCCAACCAGAAACTGTTCAACTCTATAACAGATACATGGGAGGGGTAGACAGGCATGACCAACTGAGAATGGCATATGATGTTGGTAGATCATCACGGAGGTGGTGGAGATATCTTTTTTGGTTTTTGGTCAACTGTGCAATTGTCAACGCATTTATTGTTTACAATATTGTGTCAACACGCCAAACAAAAAGAAAACGTTTTCGTCATCTTGACTTTCGGCTTGAACTGGTTCGAGGCCTTATTGGAGGATACACATCCCGAAAAAGGAAAGCCCCAGAAATGGCAGACCCTGTACTTGTACAGCAAGAGAATATTGGGGGACACATCAACCAGAGAATGCCTGGACCTAAACGTAGATGTCGCTACCATTTGTCTGTGTTGAAAGTTCGCAAAGAGACTGTCTACGGCTGTGAAATTTGTGGAGTGCACCTGTGTAAGGAAAACTGCCACAGACAATTTCACAGCCAGTAGCTAGATAGTTGGTGAGTTTTACAAAAAGGAAATTTAAAACCAACAAGATTGAATATGTTTCACATGGATTGTTTATTTGAATTATTTCAAAGAATCATACAAACAAACTGTTGTTTTTATTACAAAAAATCACAAACAAAGCATACCATTGTAAAATTTGATAATTGCTTAAAAATATTTATTACCAACAAAAATTCCTAAGACCATTGGATCTTTATAGAAAAACATGTTTAAAACACCATATCAAAACCCCACCATTTCTAGCTAAGTATGTCATTGGTACAGTGCACAAACATCACAGCATCTGCAACAATGTTCGAAACGAACATTGTATGTTTCATTCCTGGGTTCAGTGATCTGCTGTGTATAGGCTTGCATGTGGCAAAGGGTTAAATTCCGGTGGAATTTCATCCCCCAATTTTAAAATGTCCTTTTTATTTTTTAGCTTGTTTTATACATGTCATTCAAAAAATTTTAATATATTGGATGGGTGTAAATGGGAGTCCAGAATCTTCTCATTGGTTACCTTGGAGTCAAGTTTGTCCTAGTATTATACTAGCTGCTCTGTGAGTCGGTGTCAGAGTCAAGTCACTTCTCTAGAACCGTCAGAGACTCTTAGAGTCAAGTACTTCTCTATACTCTTACAGAGTCTAGCCCTATCATTCCTGGCTTCTCTGGCATCAGCGAGTCAAGTTGCTTCTCTGTTCATCAGAGTCAAGTGATTTCTCCTGTTCCGGAGTCAAGCACAGTTCACTTTACTTCGCTTCTCTGATTCACAGAGTCAAGCTTGTCGCAAGTAAGTTTTCAATAGTTTGCTTATGAGTGAGTAGCCCCCGTTACGCCAAAGAGATTGTTACGCCCAAGAGATTGTTTTTGGCTACAGAAGACTTCTCAACATTATCAATAAACAGCTTTATTAGTAGTCAAGTCTTGCATTGTTTTTTGTATAAACTGAACTTTATTTTACTTCGTTTTGTTGTGATGAGGCCTAAACGTAACACGAGATGGACTAGTAGATCAGTGCCTTACGATGTCAACTTGCCTGATAATTGGACAGCAAAAAAATTACGACAAGAATTAAATAAGCTTGGGATCTTCCCATCGTCGTCTGCAAAAAAAAAAAAAATCTGAACTCATTAAATTATACAAGGATCATGTTAATTCAGCCGAACCAAGGCCCATCAGTCTACCCCCGACTCGAGAACCAGCAGTGATCATTCCTTCAGCACCTGACACTGGGCAGATATTACGTCATGAAATATCCCAGCATGCCATAGCATCTAGTAACCAAGATGGAGGACCTACCATCATGTCGGCAGTGTCTGAGTTGACAGCTACCATCCTTGCCTTGAGAGAAGACATGAAACATATGCAAGAGAGACTACAGACCGTGGAAAACAGACATGTGCCAGCAGCGGCAGCTGGTAGTTCCTTACAAACACCTCGAGGTGCGATGATAAGCCAAGGAAGGTCAGCGAGTCTACCGGTCCGTGTCACAGAGACTAATAACCAAGCCAGTCGAGAATCAGTGGGACAAAGCTACTCTGACACGGGCTTTGGGTCCTTAGAAGGGATCAGCTCTGGGGAACTGCCACATGTGGAACTGATAGCACCCAACATCAGGAAGAACATCCTAGAAGGTAAGGATGTTAATATGGCCACTCTGTTAATTCCTTATTACCAAGGCCCCAACATCAACGGTGGCACAGACAAACCAGAACCCCGCCTTCAACGCGCGTTATCCATTGGCGAATTCATTCACGCATTTGGAATTTTTAAAAATGTATTATGTGAAGCCTTCCCCCACAGACACACCGAGATGGACCTGTACGAGCGTGACATTGTCGATATGGCCACCAGGTATGGAGGGGGTGGGTTCTATGAATATCACAGACAATTTAGTGCGAAAGCAGCAGCTCACTTGGCTTATCACAATAAACGGGTTTACTGGGCAATCAGAAATAACACCTTATTCTGCAACATTTTCGCCAACTTGAAACCTGTGACATGTACCTCCTGTCAAAGTATCAGTCATACTACAGGGTTCTGCCCTCTTATAGTGTTTTACCACAACAGCAGAAACAACAAAACTGCAACCATAAGTCCCAGGATACCTATGGTAGGCCGAGGCAGTTTCACCAAAGCAAGGAAATCTGCAACAACTATAATGATAAAGGGTGTAACAGGTATAGATGTAACCGCTTACACATATGTCTCGTATGTAAACAGGAGCACCCAAAAACTGTGTGCGCCTCAGGCTCGTCGGAAACAAAAAAGGACAATGCCTCCCGATTCAACAGGCAGGGGAATCAATAGGGAGGATCAAAATGCCAAAAGTGTCTACACCTATAAACATTAAGGAATTGGGAAGACTGCTCGCT